CCTCCGCCACCATGCCCGTTATATATACATATATATATATATATATATACATATATATATATATATATATATATATATATATCTTGGCATAGGAGCCAAGGGGCCGAAGACTTATATATAACGAAGTGAAAAACTTACGGTAAAAAACAAGGAACAGCGGAAGCTTAATCAACAGTTTCGCCGACAGACGCGGCTTCGTAAGGAGATCACTTATATATATATATATATATATATATATATATATATATATATATATATATATATATATATATATATATATATATGGACGATTTCATTTGAATTAAGGCAACGAGTGGCAGTCGTATTTTTTTATTTTGCTTCAAATTTTTATATTTTGTGGAGCATGTTTTAAGAAGAACAATCCTTTTTATTTTAATGTCCTGACATGTTTAGTTCACGAGAAAAACAATCTCAAATAAGCAGGAAAGAACGACGAGGTTTTGACGATTATCGTGTGTGGCGTTTTTGAACCACCCTCAATCTCAATGTATAAAAAAGAGAGCTTCTATATTTTTTATTGTTAGATATATGCAAGTCGGTAAAACGAAATACCAACTGCAATTCATTACTCGTCGATCCAATCCGTAACGCTATTATGGCTCCGTAACGCTATTCTAAAGGAGGGAGGCGACAGCTTTCCGTCCAGTTTCATAAACCGGACATAATTTAATTTATTTTGATAGCCATCTTTACTTTTCAAATCATGTTAGTCACATTGTTGCCTCTGCTTTTCGAGTGATGAGAATGCTATCACGCGTGACGTGTAACGTTTCCAATTCTTTATGTTTCATCCGCTTGTTTTGCTCCTTGGTGCGAGTAAGACTCGAGTTTTGCTGTGCTGCATGGAATTCGCTGAATGCAGCGGATGCCGAGCGAATCGAAATGGTTCAAATACAATTTGTTCGAATAGTTTATGATAGGTATTTTGGGAGGAGATGTTATTACGACTATGAATACAATCTCAAAAGTACTTTCCTAGCGCAACTTCCTAAAAATACGGAAAGCTCGTGGTGTGTATCCTTTTTTTCATAATCTGTGGGAATGAATTGTCGCCCAAATTTGCAGGGTTTTTTTTTTTTTCATATCATTTTTAGTCTTTAAACAAAACCTTGATTTATACCTTTTCGGCAATTGACCCACACCGTGTTTTTGAACAGTGGCATACATCGTTATGAATTCTTCTTTTCGTATTATATTTTATCTTCCACCACATTATAACCTATTGGTTGTTCTGGTGCACGAATCAAATACGGCACTATTATTATTATATTATTATTACTACAGTGGGTGACAGATTAAGAATGCAATGGTCTATTCGCATTCAGCTCCAGAGCTCCAGCAGTTTAACACAAAGGGCTGTGCGGAATCGAAGACAGTCGAAAGGCTCCAATTGCCAGCAGAAAGTGGAACTTTTACCTCATACTTGCCCTGCTACTATCAAAAGCCAATGAAAGGGTTGCGCATACTCTCTCCTTTTTTGAAACTCGGAAAAAAAACCAGCTCTATCACGTCCAAGTATTAAGCAGGACGACGCTGAAGGAGTCGGTGCCAGGTCTTGAAAAAATTATTTCCTAAGCGTAATCAAGAGCAAATGTATTTGAGTTAAAACATGTTCGTTTTATTGAAGTCAGATTTATATGATTTGGCCATATTCACTTTATTAAAATGATTTTTGTATTAGGTCAGATTCATTTAATTTTAACCCATTTTTTTGTTTAATCAATTTGCTTTATTTGGTTTATAACATAGGCTATTATCAAGTGATTAGAACAATAGTATACATCAGCCTATAGACAAACGTCATCATAATACTGTACCACACTAAAACACAATGTGAAATATTGCGGATCGATTGAGCTACAATGGTCAATGACTTCTGCCCGTCAGCTATAATTAGATTAATAAAATGGATGCTCGCGCTGAAGGATAAGAAGCCGCCAACTGCTCAAGTAACGACGCCACTGAGGCAGCTTGACAATTATTGCGCCTGGCGCTAACGCTAGAGCTTTACCTTCGCGAGAGATGGAGAATATTTCTACTTACTGCTTTCGCGTTAGTTCACTCATAATGTTTCATCATAATCTCTAAACATTCTTGAATCAGAATAATCAAAGTGAAGCAAAAATAAAAATCATCGCTGGAATTTGTTTATTGTTAGGCAGCACAATTTTGTGTTTCCAGTCACCCTAAAACTTATGACCATTTTTTTAGGCGCAGGTTAAAAAGGATTCGTTCCCGTGTATTGTGTTAAAGAAGGGGGACTGCAATTCTCACTAAAAACGGTTTGCTATTCTTCTTATTTCGTTAAGAGTTTCAGTGAAAACAGAAAAAAGCCTATGTTTTGCAAAATAATATTTAAATTACGATTCGAAACAACTCGGAAACACCTTCATGTTTTTCGTTTCACGATGGTACGTAATGGAACGACAAACCCGCAATGGTGGCGTCAAATACACAATTCTGGCGCAACAGCAATCGTGGTGTTAGAATGGTACTCGTTGTGACACAATTCCGAATCGTTTATTTTTATTGTAGAAGGCTGAAGCCCTAATCGAGGCTTGATTTGCTTGGTACAAGTGACACTACTGGCAGCTTTTGCTTGACTCCTGCAAAAGCATGGGTCTATACAAAAAAAAAAGATATCTGCAAAACCATGGGCCTACACACACAAATAAAATATAACCGGATATAACAGTTTTTATGTGCAAATTGTCATCTTGGTGAAATTTTCACGATGTTTTCATGGAATCATGTTGACATTTAGTGTTCTGGCATCAACACCGGTATTATGACTGACAGAAGGGAAAACGCAGGAAGGTCTTTCAGCTACCCTGCCTCCAGCTCGAATGTTCTGCGATTCTGCCTTCGATATCACTTCGCCGACCAGCGTGCCTAGGGCGTGCATGCGCACATTCAAGCCACCACGAAGGGCAGCAAGCGCGCGAGCTGAAGGTAAGGATTCTGAAATTGGCGCCCTGCGAGACTATTTTTTTCAGTGATTGTAGGTCACCAAAAACTCGATAAATCAATGTTGAATGGTCAAGCTTCGATGGCAGCTACACTGTTGGGAAACAAATCTGTGGAGGAGTTGAATAGGAGGAGGGTTTCCGACGGTCTCTGTGTTGGCGTTCGGGATTTTGAAGGCGGCAGAGCTCAGCACTCGACAGGGCTCAAGGCGGCTTTGCTGCACACCAAATTGTACACTACTGGTACACCGCCTTTACCTTGAAACATGTGAGACTAAGTCACATGCGGGCTTAGTTGTTGATTTTATTACTCTACACATATTCTCGGCTAAATAAGGTGCTGTATTCTCTCCTCCTACCATCTTTTTACCTCATCAAAATGTGATAAAGTCGCTCTACATAATAATAGGTATCCACCCGTACTTTATTAATAATGAAATTTATTTAGGAGTGTTCATTCCCTTGTAAAACGAGGACAGTGAGAGAAGGGCGCAGCTGCAGCATTAAGAAGAAAAAGTTAAATATCTTACATCGGGATCTGGAAGGGCTCTAGCCCGATCCAGGGAATACCCAGGTAGGACGTCAGAGGAACGGCTAACTTGACACAAGCTTGGTAATCCCAGAGGCCTTACTGGGGCCTAAAACAATTTTTACCAAATCGTATGTTAGCGCCAAATACTTTCCTTTGGCATTTTCTTGGATTTTTATATCGACACGTGATAGTGAGTGTGCCGGACTTGACCCAAACATGCCTTGTATTAACCAAAGAGAAGCAGCAGTGAAGCCTACATCTGTGATGTGAATTTGGGCCCAAAGTCACCAGATCAAAAGAAAACAAGCAGAATTCAGTCGTAACTCTGGCACTTGCTTTGGAAATTAGGACGAAAATACAGACTCTTGGCAAAAGAAAGTCCAGTTTGGCACTACCTTGGCTTCCTCGGGCTTATTAATGTCCTTAATTCTCGGACAAAAATACAATTTTCACCCAAAATAACGGTCCTACCTGGATAATGTATGCAGAAACCCTTCTGCACCAATTATGAAAGAAGCTACGTTTGCAAGTGATTACAAAGATCAAGTTTGTCTTAATATATGTTAATAAATTGTGAAATTAACGAATACAATTATCCTTACACGTTTAGTGCATCGTGTACACACTGTACGCATACACGTAGAGCTATCCGTGTATCCTTACAGGTAAGGCATGAGTGCAAAAATGGATCGCACGTATTTACCATCGATTATTCCTTTAATGTGTAAATAACAATTTTAAACACCCTATATTTTTCTTTTAAATCCCACGAGTTACAAGTCCCAATGGCATTACTAAATCTTATGGCAGATTTACGCAATTCCCATTTCGCATTATTAAGACAACAATATTTACGCAATGTAATCTCTAAAAACGAAATCAAGTATTACGGACCTGTCAGCTCTGATTGACAGGTGCGTAATCGTGCACCTGTCAATCAAGCGTGCACCTGTCAACTCTAATTTAGTTACTAGATTCCGCATTCCAATGCATTCAATCATAGCCTCAAAAATTATACACTTAATTTAGGCTAACCCGTGCAAAGTTTAAAAATAATGCCTTGGATACCTTCTACGCTGTAATCCGCTCATATTTTGGGATCTTAGAACGAAGCCGATGCGCACAAGTAGTCGTTTTTTTATTTATCTGGGATACATGATATCCAGTGAATTGGACACCGTCACACCACCGATTCTAGAGACCTTCAGCAATAATCTCATTTTGAAGAACGACCACGACCTTGTTGCGGAGTTGAGATTGCCAAAAACTACTATATTCCGTTTCAATCAGAGTGATACCGACGCCACGAGCCAATGGGCCGAATAAAACAGCCCCAAAACTTCAACGTCCCGGATTTTGTTACGTTCGCGCGTGTGCTATCAACGGAAAGACCAGACAAGGATATTGAGGGATCCGTGACCTTGCTCTGTTAGTGTGTACATCAGCATTTGCATATCGTCTAGACTCTCAATGTACTCCGAGCTTCGGTAAAACGAAGTATAAGCGTGTGCCAAATGCTGTCACCCCACAGGGTCACGCCTTGATGACCGCACTGCTCCTCGTGGAACCCCCTGGCGAGCAATATAAATACTGTGGGTGGCTTCGGAAATTTCAGTTTTTGCAGTACCCAAAGGCTACAACGACCATGCTTAAGTTTATCCTGACAGCGCTCGTGGCGTATTTGGTGGTAGCTGCGGCTGACCACCATGAACATGAACATCATGGAGGTATGTCCTTTTTTCACAACCCCACAGTTTATAGAATCTTTGAACACTCGGATAAATCGCTCAGAAATAGTTTAAGGCTTTGAAAACAACAAGGACCACTTTCTATCAATCGCTCACCTATTGTGAAGTTTTTTGAATGCTTTAAACGTAAGGGAATCGCCCAGTACTATTCAGTTTTTCAATGTCATTTTTCCATTTTGGTATACACTGCACCACAATCAGCGAAAGCGAGTGAACCTTAGCTCAATATTTATTGTTACAACACGTCGTCGAAATCAAGATACTTTTTTTTATTCCTAAAAGGCGCCCAGTGAAAATCGAACTGGACTCGTCTTGTATGTATTTTTGGGGAAGGTTAAATTATAGTTAGATATCTCAATTTGATTGTGTAGTTTTTGTGATCGCTTGCGCTATATTCGGGTCGCCTGTACGGTGCCTAATTATAAAATGCTGATTGTTTCATTCAAATCGACGTAGATGTTACTACACCGGCATGTGGGGAGAACGAGGTTGCCAAAACGTGTGTTTCGAGTAGCTGTGCTGAAGCTACCTGCGACAAGCCACAAATTGGCCCTCAGTGCACGCTTGACTGTCAAACTGGCTGCTACTGTGACCATGGTAAGAAAGAAATCGCTATGCTTTTTGGCACAATGAGAAAAATAATATACAGGGTGTTTCATGATATGTGGACAAATTCGATGTGGCCAAAACTACGCATCGCGCCAAAAAAAGGCTTTTGTCGTTTTCGTTCTAGTCCAGGGGCCTATTTAGGAAAATTATTAAAGTTCGGTATAATAGAGTTTTTAATTATTTTCGCGTATTAATTTTCTAAATATTGAGTTTAAGGGCATGGTTTCAATTAGAATCTTTCTGAGCATCTTCGAAAAACATAAAATCAACAAATCGCCAAACGATAGAAGGGCCGCGCCGTATTTTACGGCGTTCTGAAAGACCGCACAATTTCGACGGATTTCGAGTTTCGGCTATCAATTGGAGCGCTTGTCGGCACCGACGGCACCGCACCCCATGGAGAAATAGTTCAACCAACCTCTGCTGGGCTGTCCTCGAGCAACGCAGCAGAGGATGGTTTGACTATTTCTCCACACGGTGCGGTGCCGTGGGTGCCGAGAATTGCTCCAATTGCAAACCGAAACTTAAAAACCCGTCAAAATTGTGCGGTTGTTCAATAAGTCGTAAAATATCGCGCGTGCCTTCTATCATTCTGAGATGTGTTTATTTAGTGTTCTTCAATGATGCTGAGCAAGATTCTAATTGAAACCCTGCCCTTAAACTCAATATTTCAAAAATTAATTACACAAAAATGATTCACAACATATATATCTCGAACTTTAACCATATTTTTTTTTAAATAGGCTCTGGCCAAGGACCAAAACGACGCAAGCCTTTTTTTTTTTGTGCAAAGCGTAGTTTTTGCAGTATCAAATTTGTCCACGTTTCGTGGAACGCCCTGTATATGTTAGGACTTAACAGTATTAACGCATTGCAAACTCTTCACTTCGTCATTTTTCAAGCCAGTACAAAGACTTTTTTTTTCACATCTGATATGTTTCGTTAAGCGGTGCAGTAACTATTTGTGTCAGTTTTACATTAGGATCGTTGTTTTAAATGTATGCGTTTTTAATTTTTTGAATTATAATATAACAGCGCGGAAGACGAAAGGAAAGGAGAAGTGCACAGCGCAGCGCGGCGTGCCTGTACTTCTATCTGTCTTTCATTTTTTACGCTGTTTTTAATTGTCACTTCAGTATCACAAACTAACTAGCGCAACTCAACGCCTCGTTGCGTTTTGAGCTCGTCGTTTATTAACGCCGAAGCACAATTAAGCTGATCGCGCAGAGTTTGTAACAAATATAGTTTCACTAAGCTTAAAAAAAGTTCAAAGACGCTTCACTCTTGACTGATTATTTACAGCCTTATAGTGATGTACCGAAATAATGATTTGCTTCAGTCAACATGATGATAGTCTTGCCCAAGGTAAAATTTTTTTGCTAAGGACAAGTGCAAGTTTTTATACGATATGTATCGGAGGTGCATGCTGTCCGATGCTTGTTCAGTAGGAGCGCAAACACGCCTCCTCGTTCAAGCTACCTTTCTCTTCATAGTAACTTGAGGTACAGCTTTTGAATATAGAAAATCCTACACGGGTACCACATTCATGAGAACTGGACTAAGCTAAACTGTACTAAATTGGCGTTGCTCGTAACGGCTCATATACATAGCTTTGTTAGTTCATGGCACTTGTATTAGCACAATAAATTATTAAAATTATAATTATGTCAAACATGAAATAAATATGTGAGCCACCTATAAATTAAAAACGGAATACAAGATGTCTGACAACGAACGGTTCAGAAGAATGCGGCATTTTTGTTGACTTTATAACGCGTTGTCGTTAAATGCAGGACTTCCAAGTGTTCACGTTTCGCCAATTGATGTTCATAATAAAAAAGCTATAGTATTTGATGATTGTGAGACTACACACGACGTGCCCTAAAACAACTCCATCTCTTCTCTTAAGGTTTCTTCCGCAATGGTGAGCATGGCTGCGTGACCAAGGAAGCGTGTCCTGAAGGATCTGCCGCCCACACATATGTGGAGCCGCCGCACGCCCACGAATGATTTTTCCAGGAAGACTGAGTGTCCAGACTAATAAAACTGCGCAAATTACCTCTGGCCCCTTTACTTACTTATTTATCTCCAGGTTTAATATTTCACGTACGTTGTAAGATCTATTTCATGTCAAGGGCGGAATGTTTGAAGTACATCCCCAAGATTTTGAGACATTCGCCCTCTACAATCTAAAGAGAAACATTGTGATTTTCCTTAATTGCTACGTTAATCAATTAATAATTCATGTTTATTTCAGAACAGATGGTATATATATGGCTAGCTTTATGAAAAGAAAGTGGCACACCTGCAGCTTGACGGCACACTTGACCAGTGAAAAAAGTTTTAAGTTCTTTTTTTAGAAGTCCTACATCTGGCTTGGCATAGCAAATGCCCAGAGTTTACACGTTCACTATATGAGATCCCTACATGGCTAGATCGCCATGGCGAGAGCCGAGAATAGTCACCAACGTAACGAGAAAACGAGCATATTCATCAACGCGACAGATGCACATATATTTGTCTGGGAAGGGGGGAACATTAACTTTAGCGTTCTTTTATATATATATATATATATATATATATATATATATATATATATATATATATATATATATATATATATATATATATATGTTTACGTGCCTTTATTAGATTCAGTCGTAAACAAACACGTGAGGGCTGCGACCAAACAATCTAGTATTTTAAACGCTGTTTCTCAAACGAGCACTCGCGCTATTCTCCGATTTACATCGTCCTTTGACATTCAATTCCAAGTGTCGAGGGGTCCAATCAAAAAGTGTCAACCTGCATAATTAAGAAGCTCGTTATTTTTGTGCATTTGCATTTTCTGCTAAACCAATCACCGCACAGTGAATGCGCCATTATCGTGCGTATTTTTTTATGAGTGATTGGTTAAGCCGCTGATAACAAATTCACTAAGATGGCGAGAACCGTGACGGTGAATATTTGGCGCGTTTTGACTCTCTCCCTCGTTCCGAAGCATTCCCTGCGGTCCAAATTAATGTAAAACACAGTGTCGAACGACGCGTTTCAAAATAGGGCTCGTCCGTTAGCTTCTTCGTATAGTCTTTGCAGTGCAGTCAGCTTAAATGTGTAGAGACCTTTGCATCGCTTATCACCCGGGCGAAAAATGCAGAGTCACTGAGCTGTAGACGCATGCGCAGGGTCTGATGTACAGCGCAGCAGAGCAACAGCGCATGCTCAGATGCCCTTCCAGAACGCAGCAGACAAAGCTGGCAGCTCGCAGAAGGCGATTTTGCAAATGTGTATAGCTGGAAACAATACAGCCTAAAGAAGCGCGAATATAGCGCTTCGCATGGCCTTTGAGTGCTCTTTTTGCGTTTCTTTGAATAACAGACGAGGCCATTAAGCACTGCGGTCGCTGGTATCCGACATCTTTCGTTATCTTTAAATCGGCATTCAATGCCAAGGGGAGCCAGAAATGTATCAGTTACCGTATTTACTCGAGTAATTGCCGCACTATTTATGAACAAGGCGCCTGCATCTACTTTCCCACTGAACACATATAGAGCCAATCATTGCGTTACGCATCAATAACATAGCGAATAACGAGATCGACAACACGATTCTACATACAAATGCAATCTTCACAGATGTTATCTTCCCACAAAGACGTTATCTCTGTCCTGTAAAAAGCTGGAATCATGCTTTCGATCGCGATGATTAGCAATCTGCGTGCTCCGCGGAAAAGCAAACCCTGAGGCTTTTTTCATAAACAGTGCGGCTATCACTCGAGTAAATGCGGAATTTTTACATTTCTTTCCTTAACAGACGAGGCATTAAGAACTACTGTCGCTGGCATCCTACATCCGTGTTTATTTTCAAACCGTCATTCAATGCCAAGGGGAGCCAGAAATGTTTGTTATCTGCTCGACGAATATTTCAATAGATTGCACAAAGTTCCGCTGAAGGAGGCACAATCCAGATGCAATAAACAAATAGCTATGAAGAGATTTGATACGGACAAGTTGACAGAAGATTTAAATGGTTGCGTATCCGATATCAGGGCTTTTGAAATCACGTCATTCGGGTATTTATACGTCAAGTCTATTTTGCTGATGGCCCTCGAAGCTGCCTTTTCCGGCAGTACATTCTTGTAATTGTTCATTTCTTCCACCTAGCTACATAAGGAGCCGGGTTATTTGACTCTCGAAGAGTAGGCAATTGTACATCATCCGTAGAAGAGCCGTGAAAGCCTCTATTTACCGAGTTCTCCTTATTACACTCAGTGCTTCCTTCTTTTCTTTTTATTGTTTCCTAAAATGTAGTGCTAACTTTCACTGCCACGTTGGATGTCAAAACCTGACGTTTCCCTCAAACGTCCATGAATGTCTACTTCTTTTTTTCATAAAACTTACTGCTCTTTTCGTCCAACGGACGCGAGACATTTTCCTTAAAGGGACACCTCAAGGGAAAAAGGTTCTTTTAAAGAGAGTAAATGGGGCACGTATTTTAATAAAATAATTTTGCACGAGAAAACAATTGCGCAATATTTACGCCGTTGGAAACAATTTAGGTGCCGGAGGTGTAGGTCGCATCCAGCTAAGCCCCGCCAAGTGCCTACAAGATGCATAGATCTTTCGTTTGCTGGAGAGACGATTTACGGGTGAAAGTTCGGTTGTAAATGTGAATCTCCGTGCCGTAATAGTGTTGAAATTAACTCTTTTTTTATGTTTGAGACGCAAACATTCAAGAAAGACTAATTATTGTTTTCAAATGTATTCTAAGATTGCTCCTCCCGCTTTGGTTTGAAACGTTAAGAAACATGGCTTCCCGAGTCAGCGGAGTGCTGAACAAGCAAAGCTCGTTGAGTTCCTCACTTTTTATGAGTGCGAGTGGCGTTTGAGTTTACAGAGGTGTTTAGAGAAACATCTTCTCAACCGACATAGTTTGCAACAAACAAATGCCGCGAAAGCTGTGTCGTCTGTTTGGTCCTCTTGTGTGTTTCTTTCGTTTTAAGTCAATGTAGATCACCAACACGCCCAAGTCTTCAACTGCCGCACGTACGCGCCTTCGAACGCGCTGTGCGGATGCTTCTTCTCGCAGCGGGAATGGCCTAAGCCTAGCCTCACAGATCAACTATTTTGATCGATCTTGGTTGAGTTCTTTTCTTCACGCGTGTTAATGCTGAAAAAAAGATGTTGGTTCCCGTAAAAGCCGCCCCGCTGCTTTGTGAATTCTACTACCGTTGGAATTGCGACCATGGTTTCAATACCGTGAAGGTGCCTACACGGGTAAGAATTTGAGAGCCATTTTCGTTGGAGACAATCGGACGTTCGGCTCGCGTCAAGTCTGTCTGTGTATATTCTCGCAATTGCGCCTGCAAAGGCAAAGTTTTAAGTTTCGCAACTCACCTGGCCTAACAAAGCGAACATTTCCATGTCGCGTTTTAATTGTGCGTCATCATGCTCACCAAACTTGCTCGCGGATGGCATGCCCAAAAAAAAAATAAGTACACTAAAGCTAGAAAACATGAATATTTATTGTGATGACTTTTTTTTTTGTTATCTCGGTCGCTTATTGCGGGCATCTATAGACGCCGATAGAACGCTTGTATTGGACTGTGGCTCGTGTATGACGTAACGCTAGAATGCCGCTTCCAAGGAGGGGACTTCTGAGCGTTACAGAAGTTCATAGATGGCGGGTGAGTAGCAGACCGAGGGAGGCGAAAACGGACGCCGACGCGCAGATTCCTTTTCCCCGTCTCACGGCATTGCAGACGACAATAGACGGCGGTAAAATAGCAGACGATGCGGAAGCAGAGGCTCGTGTGCTCGCACGATTACCAGGCGGTGTTGGACTTCCAAACTTGAGGCACCAGATGACGCGAAAGGGAGACACTACGCTTGTTTGTCATTTCGGTCGAGCAGCCAAGCCAGGCCAGTAGTAATGGGCGGAATGACTGATTTGTCGGCGGGACTTTGCTGCTCTGACCTCCACCTAGATTGCGTCTAACAACGTAAATATTGCGGAAAAATTGTTTTTTTTTTACTGAACAATTTTTTTTTATAAAATCGTGTCCTAAGTATGTTTAAAATACGCTTTTTTTTCCTTGAAGTGTTTCTTTAAGAGACATAAATGAAAAAAAATATATATATAAAGTGCCTAGATAGGGCACGTATATTAAGAAGGAATATTACGAATGTTAGAGACATACGCTACAATTTCGATAAACTGAAACACGTTTTGCTTAAAATAGTGAATGACACACTGCATACCGGAAATATTCCTAAGGGTTTAAAAGTATCTGTGATAAGGCCGTTATACAAAAAAGGAAAGCAGCAAGAGGTCGGGAGCTACAGACCCATATCAATCCTACCATTCATGACACACGTAATCGAAAAATGGGTTCAAATAGCAATGAATAATTTTTGCGACAAATTTTCCCTGATAAACACTATGCAGTACGGCTTTTCGCTGACTGCATTACCGAAACACTCGATAAAAACAATATAGCCCTAGCTCTTTTCATAGACTTGTCAAAGGCATTCGATACCATCGATCAGTCGTTATTGTTGGAAAATTATATAGTATGGGATTTCGAGGTCATTTTTATCAATTTTTTGAGAATTACTTCAAGGATGGATTCCAAATGGTTAAGAGAATGAATAATCTTAGCAGCCCGGCTCAAGTCCAATTCGGGGTGCCACAAGGAAGTACTTTGGGGCATATATGTCATTTAACATTTATATGAATGGGTTAGGCTTTCTGCCCCTTCAGTCAAAAATGTTTGAATACGCGGATGACACCATATTAGTTTTACCACATGAAAAGTATGATGAAGCAATTTCTGTTTTTCAGAGAGACATTGATATGATGATTAGATGGTTTGCTGTGAAGTTTACTGCTGTGAATGTTGCAAAAACGAAATTGATGCGTTTTCGAAATCCGCACAAACAGATAGTAACATCTCCAAATATTTGCTTGCACTCGGTGCAGTGTCTGGATTGTAGCTGTAAACCTTTAACATACGACAGTTCAGTTAAATATTTAGGCGTCTTTGTTGATGAACACAT